TACCTTCATGCTCAGTTATGGACAGTGAGCTCATCAAAATCGCAAACTGGAACGCTTGCTCGCTCAAGAGTAAAATTATCGAGTTCGTTGACTTCCTCAACGAACATAGCATCGACATCGCCATCATCACCGAAACTCACCTGAAACCGGAGTTTTTCTTCCTGGATTCCGGCTCGTGCTGCTGGAGCGGACAAACTCGGGGGGTGGTGGAGTCAACCAGTGGAAACTAACGATTTTCAATTGGCTCACTACTTGACTAGCCTATTGGTCCCAAGCAAATCGTTTAACGTACCCCATTCTAGTAGAAATTCTAGTACTACACTATGTTTATTTTGATTCGCTATGAAAGTTTGACAGATAAAATGAGAGGTTCGTGAATTTTCCTATGTTTCGAGGGGTGCATCGATTAGTTTGGGACCAAAGAGAGTACCAGAGCTGAGCCAAAAAGTTGAGCACGTTTCTTCGGGACCTGCTGGTCTTAGAGTTGCCTCTATGGTGGAGTGGCCATCGCTACCAGGAACAACACATGCACACCCAGTTTTCAGCTGTAAATGATTGAAGCATGGGAGGGGCCTCCCTTAGCTCAGTCGGTAAAGGCGCAGCTACAAAGCAAGATCATGCTGGAGGTGGCTGGGTTCAATTCCCGGTTCGGTCTAGGAATTTTTCGGGTTGGAAAATTTCTCGACTTCCCTGGGCATAGAAGTATGATTGGACTTGCCACACAATTATACCGATGCAAAAATGGGTCATCGAAAGCTCTCAATTAATAACTGTGGAAGTGCATCTAGAACACTAAGTTGAGAGCACGCGATAAGCTAATATGCGATGTGCAATAAGCTTGAAATGCGAAGAAGTAGAAGAAGAAGAAGATGGGAGTGGAATTATTCACACCCGTCGGCCCCATCACCATCACTGCGGCCTATTGCCCGAAACAAGCCAACGCCAGGGACAGACCTGCGGAGGGATATTGTCAAGATAACACGATGCCGTGGAAAGTTCATCATCGCTGGCGACCTGAACACCGAACATCAAGCTTGGGGCGCTCCCACCCGGTTAAGCCGGTTTGGCGTGCACTCCATCGTCGACATCTTCGTCAGCAACATAGAGAACATCTCACAACCAGTAGCCCACCAAGAGTTAAGCTCGGACCACTTTCCGGTGGTGGCCGAGGAGGGCTCCTCCGTTAATCGATTTCATGCTTCCCGTCGGAATTACCATCGGGAAAGCTGGGATCGGTTCCTGACGGGTGAGTAATTCTCTGAACTTTCAGAATACTAAAAGCCTAATCAGACTCCGTAACGCCATGCGTAGGCAGTACCAGAGAACTGGACTGCCTACTTTGAAGACCCATTCCAACCGTCTAACCAAACTTAACAAAGCCAAAATGGTGGAACTCAGAAATGAGAATTTTGCCAATAGCATCCGTTCCCTCCCAGATTTTGCAAAACCCTTTTGGAAACTAACAAAAGTCCTTGAAACTAAACCGAGGCCTAATTCACCGCTGGTTCCACTGAATCGTCCCGACGGTTCAGTGGTTCACCTGATAACACCTGAAGAGAAGGCTGCCGCGAAGGTGAAGGTGAGGTTACTGAAAATGTAACCAATCTCCACCAGGTTCATCCCCATTTGGGAACCTGGGAAGGATCCTTCCTCTTCTTCAAGTTCCCGACCCATCAGCCTTCTCTCAGGGTACAAAAAACAAAACAAAAACAAAATGCAACATCTTGACAAGGTCGCTGTACCCGGTAATTAACAGCTGAAACCTGAAAAACAAGCTTGCTGTCTGCAAGCAAATAATCCTTCCCGTCATAGATTACGGGTTACCAATCTGGGAGAGTAGCGCAAATTCTCATCACCTTAAACTACAAAGGATCCAGAAAAAGATCCTGAGAATGATCCTCAAGGCCCAAACGCAATGTGGATGGAAGCGGAACGGAAACGAAAAGTTTGACAGTTGTCACAAATGACATCAAGATGCCTAATCGAAGTCGATTGGGTTCTAACTAGTTTTCAATCCGACAATTAGGCTTACTCAGATCGGGCTTTTCCGCTGCCGCTGCCGTTCCGCGTCCGCTGTCATTGCGTTTGAGTCTTCAAGATGCCACCGCGTACTAGAAATTCTGAGGTTCACCGCCAAACTGGTCTTCAGACCTTGGCGTTACGGAGAACTGCTACCAGTGAAAGGTTCAGAGATGGTTGCATGCGATCCTATCAACAGATCATTAGGGTTCTGACACGTTAGGTTAGGCAACTAGATTAAATAGGTAAAATATCAAATTTTCAAATTAAAATCAACAAACATGCTTTCTTTAAAAGCAAAATGTAAACTATTACAATGTAGAACTAAAATCAAACAGTAACTTGTTACAGACATTATCACCAAAGATGAAGAGCTTTCGGGCTAAATCATTTGAAATGTACAATAATTGTTAACCACAAAACAATAAGTAAATAAACAAACAGAGTCTACTTTTTAATAGAATGTAAGCATCAAAAGTTATTTATGATTCGAGCCACTAATGTCAATGTTAATGTTTGCTTAATCAACTGTTCAGCAGGCAACATCGGTATTTCTGGCGTGAAGAATAAAGTACAAAAATCATGGCTACCATGTCACACTGCAGAATACAGTGTTGCCCACAAAACAGCTGCTTGATCATACCATAAGATTTTCAGTCTCTTAAACAATTAATAACTATTTAAATTGACTTTTGGCATAAAAACTATATTGTGCAAAGTTGTAGCTGAGAATAAATATAGTCCAAGTAACAATTTTGATTTTATAAGGATTCTGTAGACCATGATTTAGACTTGTAGCATGCTTTAAAACCTCTATTAAACTTTCAATGTTACTTGGGTAGTATATTTTAAAAGTGCAATAAGAAAAAAGGAAGGAAGGTCATGGAAAAAAAGTTAGGATTTTCCCAAGGGGCAAGACAGCTGTACCTCTACCTCTATGGCTGTACTCAGAGTAAATATTTCTACAGAGAGTAGATTTCAAGAACAACATGTGAAAAGGGCATACAAGCTTTTTGTAAACAAACCTTCTTATGCCCTTTTCTCACCACCCACATGACACCTTTCTTCTTCCCGATGATGTTGTTGCTTTGCGTAGGCGACCCTTGGTTGGCGAGAAAAGGGCCTACAAAGCTTTGTTTACAAAAAGCTTGTATGCCCTTTTCACATGTGGCTCTTGATTTGAGTAGCTCATAGTTGCTCAAAACTGATCAAAGTAGCCTCACTATTGACAGCAAAGTTAAGCCAAATCATCGATTGAAGTGATTGCTTACAAAATCAGGTACGTATTCATTGGTAATTTACAGGTTGTAACTTATTTCTGATTATCAACGGAACGGTCCTTTACAACCTCAAATCTACGATCATAAAAAATTCTCGTATATAGAGGTTCTAATTTAGGCAGGTTTTCTATTCAATAAATTGAATATAATACAGCCACCACGAACATATAGTATTGCACAAGATATTCATCCCTATTCACTAGTGTCATTCACTCCCAGGAAATGATAGAAGGACCTGAGGCCTGAGCAGCACTGTTAGGTGATTTTCAAGTTGACATCCAATCTAGAAGCAATTTTACAAAAATGTTATAAGTAGACCTAAGAATTCAATGTGATTTGTGACGATTTTCAATGCTGCTTTAACGTGTCTTTTGTTTCAATGTCCAATGTTTGATACTTGCAGCTGCAGATGCAAAAAAACAAGACTTTATGTAAATTGATCTGTCGATATATCGTTATCCAATCACTATGATTCAGTACGGAACGGATATTCTGGGACGACTCATGAATTACGATGCTGTAGCTATTAGGTAAAAATAATTATCCGTTCAAAACTGCAGTTTTTACACTGTCAGTTAAGGATTGAACAATAAAGCTCAGCTTGCTGCAAGTTACGAATATTGAGCAACACGAGCTACTCAGAGTTATTCAAAATTAACTTGAAAGTCATCCCTGATCAAGAGCTGAAATTTACATATTAACTTTAAATGGATTGTGCCAAGTCAGTTTCTTCCCTAATAAAAAAAATACCACAAACGAATGATAACCCAAATTATTGAATTATTCCTCAAATTGTTTGGATTAGAGAGGGTCTAGTATAAGAGAGGAGCGGATTCACAACAAACTGCCTTGGCAACCTATGCCTAGGTGATTTCTAGCAACACTGCCAATGTAATCAAGATAGGCGCTGCTCTATTGGCTCTGGCTTTGACAGTTCATTTGGCTGAAAACCAGCCATTCCGCTCCTCTCTTATACTAGACACTCTCTAGTTTGGATGATACCCTGAACATGTCGTTAAGAATAACAACCATATAAATTTTATTAGGGTCACCAAATGAGTTCAAGTTTTGGGAGGCTAATCAGGACCCGATTCGGAACCGTTTGAGCTCTGTGGAGCGAAAATATCAAATTTTGCATTAGTCTAATGCCCACATTCATCAGGAGCAATAATGTACTGTATTCAGAGGTGGTAAATGTAAAATTTTACTGTATAGATATTATCAACAAAATGCTAAAATTAAAAAAAAAAACAAATGTTCTAATTAATCGTTTGAAATCATCAGCCATCACTGTACCAGCCCAGCAGTTTAAACCCTACTAATTTGAATCATGTGCAGCCAGCCATTCGCAGATTAGTTCATTCTCTCGCTCTCCGGCTGGCAATTCATCCGTCTTAAGCCATTCAAGATTAAAATCCAATGCACTTTCCACTCTCTGTTTGTAAATAAAAACTCACCTTCTGTCGTGCCCGTTGCATCATTCATTCTCTCGTTTCCAAGTTCGACTCCCACACGCACACACCAGACGGACGGACCAACTTATTCATGGTTCTCCCTCATCTTCCTTCATTCAAATAAACACAACAGTTTGGCCCCGCACTCACACCCATGAACGAAACACCACCAGAAGCAGTAGTGTCAGAAAAGGAGAAACACAAACGGCGCGGATGGCGGGTTCATTCATTCGTTGCGAACGTCGTCGCGAGTCAGTCGTCCACATTCATCGCTCCCGTTCGCAAGTGTGTTTCTTGGTGTAACCGCGGGTCGAAAGAAATTTCTACCAAGATCGCGCGTCTTCGCCCTCGTCGCCAATCGGTTATACATACAGTTTTTTTTCTTCTCTTTGCTCAAGATTAACGCCGGTGGTCCCGAACTTTGGGTGAAGATATTGAATGAGGCTTGACCTACTCAGTGTTATTGACATTCGGAACAATACGGGTCATAGTAGACCAGTGAAGTTAGTGTTTGGATCACAGCCTGCTTGGTGATTGATTGGTTCGATTGGAAGATGTGCAGTGAGTGAGTCTGAGAAGGAAACGAAAGGATTTAAGCGGAAATTGAATCGAAAAGGAGACGACATAAGAGTCAAAGTACTTGGCGCTGAAAAAAAGAAATATTTTGATTTTCGTTTTATTTGTTTTCTGCCAAAAATAAGTGGGCAAAGCTTTGAAGGCAACAAAAAAACACACGGCAGAAAAGTGAGCGAATCCGAGTCAGCCGAGGGTGCTACTCATCATTGCTGGCGGACCTACATACATACTCGCTCACTGCGTTTGGGTGGTATTTTTAACAAGCCTCGCGCGCAGGCAGCCCCGAAGTGTTCCGTTCCAACTACGGCCAGAGGTACAAGGAAAGGCGAAGATCAGTGCGATCTCGCCGCCGCCGTCGCCGTCGTCATCGTAGCCGTCTTTGCCGTTGTCGTAGCAACCCGCATGCGAAGTGACAAGTGAACGCGAAATAAAGCGGAGCAGAAGATCGCGTTCTCCCGCAGAAGAGTATCCACAAGAGAGAAGGAAATCAGTGCAGTAGGAGAAAGAGAGCGGATGATCGTTTGTCGTGGTGTGTGCGCTAACGTGAGCTTTCTCGTTGTTTTGGAAGTGTGTGGGATGAGGCGGGCAAGAGCCGAAGGAAGAAAAGTGCTGTTTCAGTGATTTTTTGTCTCGCGGAAGGAATGTATATTTTTCTTTTGAATCAAATTTGAATCATCGCAATTCGGCGGTGATAAAGTGAGAGGTGGAAGCCACTCAACCATCAAGTGACAAGTGAGTCAGTGAGTGCAGACACACGCGAGTGTATGATAGATGCACTTCGGGGAAATCAAAATCGATCGTGTATCGTCGGTTGGAAGCAAGGTTGAAGATAGGCAAGATATAGATCGTCTTCTGGCTGGGCCGAAGAAGGTGCGCGCACAAACACAGTTGAAACGTCAAGAAAAACCTGCCGTGTCAGCCGGACACAAATACACGTTCAGAGAGGAAACTTCTTCAAAAGTCGAAAGAGTCAGAATTTAGAAATTCTCCACTAATAACAACGCAAACGAACGAGGAGACGAAGGCGATCTGCCGCCAAAGGCTGCACAACGACCCAACATATCGACTCGAGGACGAAACGGTGAGTGATGAAGACAGAGAGCGGGAAGATAATAATAACAACCACACATCTTTCTTCTTTGGGACTCGGATGGAGAAACAGTGAACAAACACTGGAAAACTTGAAAACACATTCTTGCTTTTTTTTCTGTTTCGTTTCGATGGGCTTTGGGCTCATTCGATCGAAGCAGGCATGAGAAATGCGACGATCAACCCGGACAAGCGGGACAGACACACACGAGAGTAGTTGGTTGATATGGTGTAGCATAGCAACAACAACAATAACAACAACAACAATAGCTTCATCGTGTGTGCATAACGAGACGACGACGACGCTGCACATAAGAAGCAGGGATGTGGAAGAAATTGGAAAAAGATTGGAATTTCGCCTGCCCCTGCTCGCGCTCTCGCTTGGGTCCCGAGGTTTTGGGTTGATCGTCAGCGGCAAGCCGAGGGAAGGTCAAGCAACGTGTTCCGGGCAACCGAAGCACGAGAATGCAGCCAGTGGCTTCTGCTGGTCCAGATTGTGCTTGCCTTTGCTTAAGTTTTTTGTTTTTTCAATATTTGAACTAGTTGTTAGCTGGAGTTGCTTAACAGCAAATCCGTTATTTAGTTAATGTTTGCATACAGTGGACGTAAGTTGATGTAAGGAATGTTTGATTGCGTTAAACATTGTTCGATGACGTATGGAAAATGTGTATGATAGAAGATCCAATTTTTTTTCGGTTTTAAAATTCTTTCAACATTTGTTAGGGAACAATACATTTTCTTTTAGGTTGCTACATCAGAGCAGTGGTAACAGATAAGATTATAATTTCACCGTACGGTGTGTGGTACTTACTTACATTGTTAAATTCATTGATTCTGATGTCTGTGTTTGAGCGATGTTTCTTTGAGTTTAGTCGAAATTTTTTAATCGCTTATGAATTGATAGTGGTAATCTCAGTTTATATTTAAACGAATAATTTCCCCATCGACTCTTAAACTACAAATTAATCACTAAAACGGGCGAAATGGTCATCGATAATCATCAATTTTTATGACTATCTTAACACAATTTTGTGATTTTTAGGTTGAGTTTTCCAAAACACGATAACAACGATACAAATTTGATCCTAATCACCAAGAATTCTGAAACTGTGTATGGATACAGGAGAGCATTTTGCTTTAGCAAGGGGCAGAGTTTTGGAGGCGTCCAGGGGCTAGTAGCTCTATGGAGAGAGGGTACAAAGCTGTAATAGTGATCTATCAAACTTCGGTTCATGTTTGACCCCAGACGGTGACTCCATTAGTAGAATTTAGGAAATTCTACAGTTTTTACTACAAGATACTAGGAACTGCCTAAACTGTGGGAGCGCCAGAACTTTTGGAACTGTTGAAACTTTCGAAATTAAGGGAATTCCGAATTATCATTCCTTGAATCTATGGACAGTACTAGGAACTTGTGGAACTTTAAAAATTCTCGGAATTGCACATAAAGGGTGATACGGTCAAAATTTGGTCAAGGGAAAACGCGTGTAAATCGGTGAAATCGTTTATTTAAAAAATCAAATTAAATTTCTTTTTCAAGTTCAATTAGTATAAAATTCAGGAAAAATATTCAGTTAGGCTTCCGCTTTTCCAAATCCGAATTGCCGGGCCTTACGCTTGACCCCTGCCATCAGATTTTGTACAGCCACCTTGTCCACCTTCTTCGCCGCAGAAAGCAAGTTTGCCTTGAACTGCTGCTCGCCCTTAGCAGTTTTTTTGGTCTTCTTTAGGTTCCGCTTGACAATAGCCCAGTATTTCTCAATTGGGCGGAGCTCTGGCGTGTTGGGAGGGTTCTTGTCCTTGGGAACCACCTGCACGTTGTTGGCGGCGTACCACTCCATGGCCTTTTTACCGTAATGGCAAGATGCCAAATCCGGCCAAAACAGTACGGAACAACCGTGTTTCTTCAGGAAATGCAGCAGACGTTTATTCAAACACTCTTTCACGTAAATTTCTTGGTTGACAGTCCCGGAAGCTATGAAAATGCTGCTTTTCAAGAAACAGGTACAGATGGCTTGCCAAACCAGATATTTCTTTGCGAACTTTGACAGTTTCATGTGCTTGAAAACATCTGCTACCTTTCCCCTTCCTTTTGCCGTATAAAACTCCTGTCCCGGAAGCTGCTTGTAGTCGGCTTTGACGTAGGTTTCGTCGTCCATTACCACGCAGTCAAACTTCGTCAGCATCGTCGTGTACAGCCTCCGGGATCACGCTTTGGCCGTCGTATTTTGTTTATCATCGCGATTTGGAGTCACTACCTTCTTGTAAGTCGATAGTCCGGCTCGTTTTTTGGCTCGATGCACGGTTGTAGACGATACACCCAGCTTATTTGCGGCATCTCGGAGAGAGAGGTTAGGATTTCGCTTGAAACTACCGGCAACTCTCTTTGTCGTCTCAGCGGCTTCCGGTTTTCGATTTCCCCCCGATCCAGACTTCCTGGCTGTCGACAAACGTTCCCCAAACACTTTGATTACATTTGTAACGGTTGATTTGGCAACTTTTAGCGATTTTGCCAACTTTGCATGCGAGTAGCTCAGATTTTCGCGATGCGCGAGCAAAATTTTGATACGCTGCTCTTCTTGCTTGGACGGCATTTTGACAACTGAAGAGTGAATTCCAAAATCAAAATAGGAGCAACATTCTACACACACACACACCTTCAAAATGAGGGGTGTTCAGGTTTTTTAAATGCAAAATTGAAAGAAATACGTCAAGTTGATATTGACCAAATTTTGACCGTATCACCCTTTACTTGTGTGATTTTGGGGAATTCGATGCTTCAGGAATGTCGATATTCTTAACATGGAGCCCAGATAGAATCTTCGGAAATCCTAGGACTATTCAAACTTTTGAAATTGCTAGCAACAAGTTTTCAGAACTCTTGAAACTCCCAGAGCTTGTAAAATTATTGGAAGATCGAGAGTCGAGAGTTCTCAGAACTGCACTTATTTAAAATAGCTTCAGTGTACCAAAATTGATATTTTTTTGGATTTCAGTTCCATTTGTAATGCAGATTACTAATATGCAATTACCTAATTACCCCTAAAGAACCCCACCGGATTCTTGATGGGTATTGACGTATTTGCATTCAACATGGATGCAATCTTCAATAAAAATGGAACCGAAATCCAAAATTTGATTCATTTTGGGGCACTGAAACTATTTTAAACAAGTGCGATTACATTGGCAAAAAATGTCTTAACGACCCACGGAGTTACTTTTATTTAATTCTCGATTTATACATAATATTATAGATCAAAGGCTATGGGAATGAAAACACATCATTGTGCTCAGATATATGAAATGGTTGAAATTGTTTGCCTGAAATTTACCTTAGTTTCATATAAATTATTCAAAGCGCACCAGGCCTTAGTGATAGATTTATCATAACATAACATTTGAATTGTAGGGCTAAAGGGCCAAAACTACGCAGACCCTCCTCCGCATAGATAATAGTGCATGCATTTTTTTGAAATCATTATGAATCGTAGACAATCACCAACACCCTCCTCTCCTTCCTAAAGTGACAAGGTAATCGAAATAAGCTGAAATGTTCAAATCTCAATCGCATTGGATCTATTCTTTTCTTCTCGATAGATGACTTCTTCAGTTTCTGTTATTTCATGTGATTCTTATTCAAAACGATCGTCGGTCATATTGGCTTTACTCTGATGTAAGGGGCTTTGTTGTCTAGTACAACCGTTTTTGCTTACTGAGCAGAAAATCATGTGTTCAGTCCCAGGCTTCTTTACAATAAAGGGTTGATAGGATCGGTTTGTTTTCTCATACATAGCTCCGGATTCGTCTGCCATTATATCAAAACAATGATCACATTACTTATCAAGGTTAATCCTGATCCAACGAACCCCACCCTACTAACAACACCTCCCTCCTATGATCTTTGTGGGAACGTAGAGGTAAACACGGTCCCCATAACAACAATAGTCACTCTAACTTTCCTTCCTATCTCCCACCTGATTGCACGGACGTGGCCAGCGTCGTTATTGATCGGAATGTTCGGTCACTCTCAACCCCATTCCCCACTGATTCTGATCAATTACGCAGTAGCAATCATTGATTTGTGCAGTCAGTCTAAGCTGAAAACGGTATCCAGCTTTTTACGCTCGACCACAATAAAATTGGAATCACCTCTTTCAGCCATATGACGATTACCATTATGGCAAAGACCAAGGTGGCCATGATTGAAGATAATTTTCTGCACTTTGACAGCGCTAGTAAATCAAATCTAATTTCAATTTTGGTTAAATCGATATCGTGCATAATTTCATTTTAGTCCTAGTTTTAATCCTAGGGGCAAGACAGCTTTTGATCATGAGTGATGCTCAATATGCAATGCACGGAACACAGCAAGCTGTTTTTGAGTTATTCCCCAAGTGTCAAATATAAACGTTTAACGGTGATAAATACATATTGCCAGTTCAGAGAAAAATTAGCACTTGGCGTCAGATTATCAGCTTTAATAGCATGCTGTGGCTGTCAGTTGCGTCGAATTATTTTCCCTCAAACGGCAATATAATTTCCACGGCTTTCCATTCATAGGCTTTTTCATCCAAATAAAATAAAGCCTGTTATCGGTGGAAGCTGACCATAGCTTTTGTAGATTCAATATATGAGTCATTCTAACCGTCTTCTGGGGGTATTTGCTGAAGGTGCCGATTCAAATTTCGGACACTTAAACTCGAATTTCGGACACTTTTAAAAGTTGATTATCTCGGTCGAATATGATCCACATGTCTTGTAAATTTTAAATTTTTTTGACTAGTGCCCTCCACGATCATCTAACATTATTACTTTGTTTCTAACTGGATATAATATTTAATTAAAAATGAAAGTGTCCGAAATTTGAATCGTCCGAAATTTGAATCGGAACGGTACATTTGGTTAAATTGACTTTGTGGTGTTTGAAAAATAACCTCTGTATTCACTGCTGGATTTTCAGGAAAATCAACTGTATGCAATCCTATTGGCCAC